GATGCGATTTCTCATATCGACCGGAGTTGTCGGTCGTAGTAAAAACAATCCCTTTCACGTACCTCCATAAAAAGAAATCACAAGGTGTCAAATCAGGAGAATTTGGAGGCACGTGATATAACCGTTGTATCCTATCTAGTGTTCAGGATATCTTTTATGTAAATAGTCTCGCACAATGGCAACTCTATACAGAGCAGCACCATCGTGTTGAAACCACATGCGATCCCTAGTTCCTAAATTGATATCCTCTAACAATTCGAATACATTATTTTGCAAGAACTGTAAGTATATTATTTTAATAATATTATTATCAAAGAAATAGGATCCAATAAGCTGACCATCCCAAATGCCACACCAAACATTTACTTCCCACTGATGCTGACGATCTACATGATGAATCTAAAATGGATTAATATCTGAATAAAAGTGGCAATTATGACGATTCAATTCTCCAGTATTCTAAAATGTTGATTCGTCGGTAAATAAAACCTTGTAATAATCCGAAATATCGTCACGGAAAAGAGCAGAACAACGCGACGGAAAAACTCAAGAGGACAGCGCGTCTTCTTAAAGTATAAACAACGCGACCGCCGAACAACTGTAGAAAACAGCGAATCAAGCGTGATTCGCAATATATAAAACGCCGCGAATTGTAATCAGTTGAGATCCGATCTACCGCTCTTTCGAAAGAATCAGACTCCGATCCTCCGCTCTCGAAAGAGATCCGCAAGTACCGTTCCTGGCAGATTTCTGTTCGCGGATTCGCGACTGAAATCACTCCACCGTCGACTCACGGATTCGTGACATCGACACTGTTTCTCTATACCGTTCCTGGCGGATTTCTGTTCGCGGATTCGCGATAGAAATCACTCCGCCATCGAATCACGGATTCGTGACATCGACACTGTTTCCCTATAGCGTTCCTGGCGAATTTCTGTTCGCGGATTCGCGACTGAAATCATTCCGCCGTCGACGCACGGATTCATGACATCGACATTGTTCTTCACACCGTTCCTGGCGGGTTACTGCTCGCGGATTCGCGACAGCACTCCGCCGTCAGCTCACGGATTCGTGACGCCGACACTGCAAACTACCGTCATCCGCAAGATTCCACGGCCGCCAAAGGGCCTGGAATTGACACTCGGGAAGGGCGCTCCACGCACCTTCCGCACCGCGAACCGGATCTCGCCTTCGCCTTAGCGCGAGTGAGATCACAGCGTATCGAGTCGCCGTGGGCAAATTCGTCATCATAGAATCGAAGGCATGCTCCGTTGCAACGTAGCTTCGACACCGCAAATTAAGGATCCGCGTTGGGATCACACCGTAGTCGCCTCGCAAAGACGCGAGTCGACCTCCGCGATACTATCTAACGATCTCCGGAAGGGAGATCGGACTTACTCCATCACCGCGACGCATAGGCGCGCCCGCGGCACCGTCTTACCGCATCCGCAATCGTGTTAGAACGTCGGTCTCGTTTGATTACAAAGGAAACTCCGATAGCTAAGGTTCCGTGTACAAGGGCAGACTGCCACACCGCATACACGGAATCGCACCGAATCTCCGCGAGAGGAGCTCAAGGGTACCGCCACCCGGGCAATACCACGCGGGCAGCTCCACTGCACTAATACCGATTGACCGCTTACACTGTGCTGCATCAAAGAGCAGCTACAGCACCGAAAGAAATTGTAAACGCGAATTAAAGAGGCGAGAAGCCGAGAAATGTCAACAGACGAACTCGCGAATACGCGACAATACCACCGTCCGCGTCTCGCGCACCGCACATCGCACCGCGCAAGCCATCGCATAAATAAAGCGTCTGACAGATAGTACACAAACGACCAAAACCAACGGCGTAGCCACACCTTATTTAATTTACTTGTACACAGCATCAGCTGATTAGTTAAATATATTATTAAGTTTGTTAACCAACCACTGCTTCTAAATTATTCCGCCTACCACGAACCCGAACCGACGAATCCGAAACGCGACGCATCGCGGTTACAACCTTATCAAAAAAAGTTGGATCTTCTTCTAATTTTTCCAATCCTCAATGACAAAATTCAACGCGTTTTTGTTTTTGATTTTCAGTAAGTACCTGAACTCGTTGAATGTGATAAACGTGAAAATTATTCGCTCTTAAAATTCGCCGGATAGTTCACTGAGAAACATTGAGTTCTCGACTGATTGTACGTTGACCAATCTGGGGATTTATTACCACTATCCCTAAAATAGCTGTATTCAAATCATTAGCATCAGTTAAAGATTTCTTTCTACGTTTGCGACATAATGTACCTTCACAAGCTCTATTAATAACTTTCATTATTGTAGTATGATTGGGACATCGACGATCTGGGTACCGTAGAGCATACTGACGGGCACATTGTAGTTTTTATTGGCTCTTCCATATTTAATTATCATGTCGACAATTTCACTAGGTGAATAATCAGTCATGTTTATTATTAAAAAAACAAAGTGTTAATTTTAATACTCTTTTTTTAATTTTTGTGCACCTAGTGACACGTCTACAGTGGCGAGGTAATTGATGTAGCGTTTTGCTTGCTTATTAATGAAACGTTTGAGGACGAGTATCGCGCGAGAGTCGAGTGGAGAGAATGTGCATACAGGGAGAAGGCATGTGTGTGTGCGCCCCAACCATTTGACAAAATTCATTTTTACGTAGAAATGAAAATAACAGGTAAAACCTATAACACGCACAGAGGTATAAATCCGACCGGGCAACCTCTGCGTGGTACACCTTGGATAATGCTAACGCCGGCGGTACTGTAACTTTCAAACCTTATAACTCGAAAAATACTTAATAAAAAAATACTTTATTATAGTGTTTTGGAAAGCTCTCGAGGTAAGCTACAAGAATATGCAATGAAAAATGGAGATTTCTATTTAAGAAATTGAAGGTGACCTTCACGTGACTTTCAAACGACTATTCAGGGTCAAGCCAATTGCACCATCTTATGTCTCCCTCCAAACCATACAACTTTTGCTTGAAACATTTTTCCGTATCTTCCATATTTTTCGAGATATTTGCCTGGTTCGATTAAAATGATTCATCCTGTATATACAGGATGTACAAAAATTAGACGGACAAAATTTGAGGGGAAATAGAGGACATAAAAACAAACATATTTTGTTAATAATGTTTTTCTCTACGACGCTTCGTTTTAATATTATAGGATACAAAATAGGAATTTTATGATTTTAATAAAAAACAAACATATAAGTGGAAAAATTAAATTTATTTCAATTACACACATATATATATATATATATATATATATATATATATATATATATATATATATATTTTAAAAAAAAAAAAAAACTTTTTTTTTTT